ACTTAATTAAAGGTTCATATACAAATGTCCTAAAGTAAACATGCTCATTATATAGAATGGCACTTTTCACTCATAAACATTACATTGGATTATCATTCTTAATTTATTGACGTGTATGTCACTTTAATGTTGCAGCTGTTGATCACTTTAATGGATAGATTTATAATAATACAGTTATTACAATAATGCTAACATAGAAACTCATAAATAAAGTACAAGTGCATTAAACCTGTACCTTTGTAAAATACTAGCTACATAACTGCTGGTCCTATCCATGACTTCGCCCAATATTGTAGGGCATTGGAGATTGCCAGTCACATTTCAGGGGTGACCTGTGGCACCACATGCCACTCTCTGGACACACCCCTGACCTAAAAGTCATATTCTGGCTATTTTGACAAAATATGGTTGCATTTCTTTTTAGGTTGGGCAGCATAGGCCTATTCTGATACCAAACCTTAATTAAAAAGTATGTGACTTCATTTTGAATCCTTTTGATATTTCTCTAAAAAAAAAGTTGAGGCTGTGCACACCACATTTTACGCAAACTCTCCATTTTACCTCTAAACCTTCTTCCTCTAAACCGACTTCGCTAACCTAATCACCTGACCACCTGCGCTGAAATCACGTGCGGCCTCATGGTCACGTGGTGTGCTCCTTCTCCACTTAGCGGCTGTAGAGGCGGAGAGACTCGGCAAACTGCCGGCGGAGAGGCTGAGTGACGGTGTGTCTCCCTGCGGTGAGCCGGTACTCCAGCAGGTAGGATGATTTAACCGCTCGCTGTCCTCACTGCGCTCATTTAAGAGCTGGGGGAGAATTTAAAGAGGCACAACCTGACTTCCCGAGTTTAAATATTGCCCCGCTGCTGCGGAGTGGTTGAAGGAGACATTTAGCTTGCTTGTATGTAACTAATGAGTCCTGTTTGATTCTGAGTGTCGCTTGTGGACAGTTGATATATCGAGTAGAAGTCAGCCTGTGCAGGATAATGAAGGTTTGTGACGCTAACGCGTTTTGTTAAATTATAATAAGCGCCGGTTTTGTCAGGTTAACCGTCAGCTGTGTCCTTAAACGCCTCATAGGTTTCACTACAGAAATACTAAACTAAAGCTGGGTATTTAGAGACCAGAATTTGAATGTAATCTACAGGTGCACGGAGCCTACTGCTTGGAGTGACTAAATGTCAAACATAATTATTTACAGCTACTTAAACGTGGGAAATTACTAAATTAAAAACAAACAAACAGTTAAAATCATTATTTAATTGAAATAAAGCCCTATTTGAATTTTCAGCTTCAGAAAGTTAAGTGAAAAACACCCATACAGTGTTGCTATGTTTCTTTTATGAATAGGTGAAAGGTTTTAATGAAAACAGATCTTTAACACGACCTTGGTCAAAACAACACCTGGCTGACTCACAATTACGTTGGACAGTTGGATGTAGTGAGCAGTAGGAACGTGCCAAGACAGGGAAAGCTAGATTTGTCCTAATCTTGTAAACAGGATTAACACCTCTTTAAGTCCTGTCACCCCATACAGAGAGACGGGCCAGGATGAGTCCTGGATGTGTATCCAGCCATTTTTGTAATCAACCAAAAAAGTAAAGCTTTTTATTATATTATTGTGTTATATTTGTATTGTGCCATAAGTTACATCATATTAATACAAATTGATTCCTTTGAATGAGGAAGACGCCCACACAAATGCTGACATTTGAGGCAAAAGCCTGTTGGTCTGCTGACTAATTTGCTGATGAGCTGTTTACCATCGTTACCAGTTAGTTTTTATTTAATTATTTTTGGATTTTTGCTGAAAAAGTTAATCATTATATTATATTTTAATTGACATTTCTGATAAGTGACTCATCATTTAGCATTTATGTTACCAATCCTAAGTATTTTATAGTGTTAGCTGTGTGTTTTTGACTCTTTTGGTGGACAAACATGTGTGGCAACGTGGACATTTTATTAATCAAAATGGGTAATCCCTTATTCACAAGGGATTCCACACTGGGTAGTTTCCATATGTTTGATTTGGGGGATTTGTTTGTTACACATCCTGACAGAAGCGATTTATGTCTCATCCCAGAATGGAACCAGAGACCTTTTGCTTGGTTGGTTAATTTGTAAACCTCTGCACTTGATTAATGGTATATTAAATTAAATTAAAGGTATATTTAAAAAATGATAAAGAGATGAATAAATATGAAAATAATTTAGTTCCAGTCCACCTGGAGGTGTAGATTTTTGTACTTGACATTATTCTTAGCATTTTCGCATGTTAAGACCATTTTTTTTTTTAAATTAAATGTGTATACGTGATTAGTTGTCCTGAATAGTCTTTCTGTTGTTTTTAAATGTCTCCCACTGGCAGAATAGCAGAGGTGTAAAGATTGTGAAACTGTGACTGAAATTGTGTTAATAAAAATATCAGAATGATGCTACTCTGTTTGTGCAAAGACTTCCTGCTAAGTTGAGGTTTTCTTACGTGACATGCGCACACGTGCTGTCTGCTCAAGAGCTGTCTGCCATATTGGATGAGATACGATCACTGGTTGCTAAGGAAATGCGTATTCCTCAACTGGTTGGCAGTGGTTACTGGAGGCGTCTGGCTGTTGCTTTGGTTGCTAGCAAATTGTTATGGTTATGTTTGTTTCTTTGTCTGCAAATACTCTCAAACAACTAGCCCAGTGGTAGCAAAATTTGGAAAAAGTACGACACAGATGAGAAATGGAGAAAGTTCCCCTAGTAGACAAGTTCGTCACTTACATTAAACTATGACCGCAGCAGTACGCTAGCGACCAAACCAATCACAAGGAGCTTTTTGGCCAACTTGTTGGGAAATACAGGTTTTTCCCTATTGACAGGTGGTTGCAAGGGAGTCACTAACCAGTCTAACTAACCAGGGCTTGTGTGACTGGAATGTTAGCATTTTCCAAGTGGCTGCCATCAACCTCTGGGAATACAATTTTTCCATCATGACCAGTGGTTGCAAGATGATTGCAGACCAGTCTAGGCCTGTGTGTTCATTTACATATGATTTGGCACGTGCAGTGCTGCTCTCTGAAATCCATTCATTTCTATTGCTTGCGCTGCACAATAATGGTTTCTTGCTGCGCAGTGCCAGCGTGGCGTACTCAGGGATGTGTGGTCAAAGTTTGACCTAGTTCGACTGTACCTTTGCCTGACCAATTAAAAACAAGTCTAGAAGACTATGAAGAAAGCATGTGCGTATCCGAGTTTGGTGAACTTTTTGACACACATTTACGTGGATGGATAGATTGATTTAATACAACACAAACTCTTGTAGAGGATACAAAGTCAAAGAGAGACATGTTTTGAAATGACAAGGACCAGGTGTATCTAGTACACGTAGAGCAGCCGCAAAAAATGACATACAAGCAGAGCGCAGCGGCTAGCGCAACACAAACTGTCCTTCGCTCTAGCTAGCGGTCAGCGCAGCACATGCCCTCTGCCCTCTCGCTCTTTCATGTCTGTAAACACTCTCCTGATGACTTTATGGACTCAATCTCTAGTTTCACATCATAGTGAATAAAATGTTAAGTCCATATTGAAAATTATGTTTTAGTTTTGTTTTTTTGGTTGTATCTGACAAGTTGTTGGGCAACAACTTATCAGTTACAAGCTGAAATGAGTGTACAGTTTCACATCCTTGTTCACCTCTTGCTTGCCACATCTAGTTTTAGAACATATGTGTATTCATAAAGGCACTTTGTAGAACAATAGAGGATGTCCATCTTTTATGCTGTTGGTAGGTATGAAGCAAATCATGAGTTTGGGTAGTTTTTTAATCACCTCCTAGTGGAAAATAAGGCTCCATATTGTTTTTGATTTGTATATTCTTATGTTCTGAATGAATTCAGTTAATTTCAAGTCTGCACACTTTGGCCCCCCAGCTGTACAGAACATCATACCATTCTATCTTTAATGTGGGAACCTATGAGCTAGTCTGCGGCCAAATTCTCTGGGGATATCAGCCAGTATTTTCAGACTTTCAGTGCAGCCTGGGGATATCTGGGCCAAGACTTAACTTTCTGTCTGCAGGGAGAAAGCTTAGAGAAAAACTAATAAAGAGCTAGAGTATGGTGGCCAGTAAAGTAAATTGACAGTTTACCTACATGCAACCAGAGCCTGTTTAAATGTCACTAGGCTTTTGTACTTTTAATACATACCAGAATAATCAAATGTCTTGCCCCATATCTACATTCTGCAAATTCACATGCACATCTGTTTATAGAGCTTATGATGTGTGTGACGGAAGTGCTGTGGGAGTTGAACTCATTCTAAATTTGGTCATGTGCATTGCAGATAAAGCAGACGGTGGTCAACAGCACTCAACAGGGAGCTCTGATTGTTGTTTTTGTGTTCTCATCTAGACACTTCTGTTTTGAACACAACACGAGCGTTGCAGTTTTCAGGGTACAGCTTGCTTTGGTTGACAGTAGGACAGGAAGTCACAGGATATTACAGGAACTCTGTGCACACAGTGTAATGCTGTTATCGTATCATTAAACACCACGCAACATTCAGTAACCTTTGTGGTCTTCTCAGCACTGAACACCCAAGTTTGAGATACATTGCTGGTATTCTATATACATTCATGGTTTCCATAGAATGAGTAACGGCTATCTATGTCTTGTGCCAACAGATCAGATTTAGTTTAGTCCATGACCTACATTTGCATTCTTAAATATGAAATATTTGGATGGTGATGTGCTCTGGCACCTGTTGTTCTGCATAGTTTTTTCACATTTTGTAGAGCAAATTATTATTCAAACCAAAATCCATTGGATCAAAGTGTTCCCTGAGGGTGTTTTGCACTGCTTGTAGACACATTTCAAGCACAGGTTGTCCGTGACTGGGGGCCTGGTGCTGGATTATGTAAGCGTTTTAGCTAAGGCCTGGGGTAATTTTTCCCTCAGTGCATGTAGAAAGGTCAGAGGAGCTGTGCTGCATGGCACAAACCAGGAGCAGGCTGCTTGAGGAGGACAAGGGGGGTAAAGGAGGAGGGAGCACATGGAGTCCTCAGGAAGGACACCTGTAGAGCAGCAGGACCAGCGTCTGCACCTGAAGTCCCTCTGGACTCTAGTGAGTTGGGGTGCTGCTTTGACTTCTGTCTTACTGAATAGTATGAGCAAAGGTGGACTTTTTCACCTTTACTCATTTTATAATAAGAGTAAAGGTTGGTGTTTGTGTTTTTGTGGTCATTTATTTAAGAAATGCAGGAGAGAAACTGATGGATCTGTGAATGATACTGTGTTTATTTATTGGTCAGTCTGTATATCATTATTTCACTTGACTGTTGAGTCAGTGGAAAGGGAGAGTGAGGAAAATTTGTGTAAGACAATAGAAATGTATTGAATTTTCATTGATAACGAGGAATATTAGAAGGTGAAATTAGATTCTATAGAAAAATTAGTTGATTAAGAAAAGGGATTAAGTTTTCCTTCCTTGCTTTTTCCAGCCAGTTCACTGTGTGATCAGCTTCCCAGTAGGTATCTTATCTAATGTGAATATATCTACTCTTGTAAACCTGCTCCAGTCCTTTAATCCTAACTTCATTTTACTTTCTGCTGCAATCACTAAACATCTTTACGCTATCTTTAGGTTAGGTTCATGATACTGATGAAAAGGTCCTGATGCGCAGAATTAATGGCTGTAGATATGACTGGATCTCCAAAGGACCACATTTTGCGTTTTTAATCATTTTCAGCTATTATCAGCAGATTGTAGATCGCTGAGTATGTTTTTGGTCTAATGTCTAATCGCATTAGAGTTTAATTGGAACACTGGCTGCCGGTCTTAGAGGCTGAATGGTTTCAAAGTCCAAGCAGCTGGTAAGCATCTCGCATCTAGTCTCTTAATTGTTGTCCCAAACACAACACAATAACACTTTTTTTTTTTTTTTTTTTTTTTTTAACACCATTTAGGCCACACAAATATGAGAACTCCTTATCTGCATGTCATGTTTCCTGTTGCAAACCCATACATTAAAGCATCTGAACTCACATTAAACCGCAGTAATTGTAGGTGCTGAGCAACATGAGAACATATAATGACAATTGTACGACTTCGACTTACGTCCTGAAGGGATGAAATAAGGTTCAGTAAATACAAATTTGAGCTCTGAAAACATGGCCTTTGTTTGCTGTGGTGTTACGAACGTACATGAGAAAAGCAGGAAACCCCAAAACTGCATTAGCCGGAGTAATGACGTAATGTAACCTGGAAGTGTAATGTGATAGCTTGTGTACGAGGGACGCATGAGACAGTTCTGATAAATGTAACCACAACTGATTTTGTCAGTGATCTGAGTCAATGACATTGTATTTTTACATTGTCGTAGTGTTGTGTGTTGTTGTGTAAGAAGTTTCTTTTATTCATTGTTTACTCAATCTAGATTTAAAACTTACACACCGTTTAAAATGTTTAAATCAAAGGCATTAACCCTATTTTACAGTAAATGCAATAAAATTAGTGTTGAAATCACTGCATATTATTTAAGTTAGAAATATCCTTAAAATGCATTTGGTGGGTTTTTCTGAAGTGACTTTTGTGATTATAAACAGCATAGGCCAGAGTTCACCTTCAAACCTTTTAACCTAATCCACTTGGGTGTGAACTCTTTGTCCATATACACATCATGTTTGAGCTACGATGAGTCCATAAATTGTAAATTTTATGCTTTTATTTTAAACTTTTAAACCGTCACAGTACAAGAATTGTGTACTGCAGTGGTGGTAAGTTGCAGTTCTTACTTAGTTGTAATATATCCGACTGTCCACAGTACAGAGTCCTATTACACTGACTGACTTGTGCTTTATTATGCAAGCTAATACAGGGGTTGTGTTCATGGAAGACCTCGACTGAGAAATATCTTATTACATTTGGATTCAGGGATAATGTTGTTGTATGAATACCAGTAGAAAAGGGATCCCGCTGTGTTAACAGTTTACAGTTGACACAGTTTGGACTCGTGCTGCACTGCCTCTGTATTGGGTTATCTTTCAGCACCAGTAGATAGAAAACCATCAGGTCACAAATCAAATTCATCTAATGCAAAAAGGTTTTGCCTCATCTGGCCGTCTCTCCAGCCACAGCAAATGATATTGAATCGTCAGCCGGATGGACTATGTCAATGATCTTTGGGTTGTGTTTCAAGTTAGATTCCCCAAACTTTACCAGCTCATGAGTACCACCTTTTCACATCTTATTATTATTGTTATTCTCTTTCAGAGGTCCTTATTGTAATAAGGGACGCGTTGTAGTGTCCTTTCGACTATTCTTTGAGATTCATAGCACAAAATGAAAACAAAGAACAAAAAAAGAATGATTTTACTTTGCTTAGCTTTGAGTCAGCAGACATGAATGACCTGAAACATTCAGAGAAGATTAATAATATGGCTGTTAATGACATGTCATTATAGCATTGATAAACTCTGGTAGAAATAAAAATGACTGCTTAACCACTGAGTCAAAATACCAGAAATGTTTTTCTAAAGTGATCTGTGACTAATATAAAATGCATTCCTCATGTCCCCTTCAACAATAAAAGGTGATGAAGCAGACATGAGGATTTAAAGATGAGAGAATAATATAATTATATGTATTTAAGGCTTCAGTGCTGGTGATGATTAGTGAGTATGATGTGCATAAAAAGTACAGAAATGTTAGTAAAAATAAAAAAGTTATGAATATCAATAAAAATACAATTGTGCTACCAGTGTGTAACAATACATTTTATTTTCATTGTAGCATTTTTTTTGAATTCTTAATTAACCTAAATGTGAGGTTTTATCACTCCTTTTTCCTCTAACAAAGTCAGGCTGACATGTCAGACAGGTTTCGCTTGTTTATGTAAAACTGTACATAAAACTATCACAGATTTATTGCTAGCTGTACAAACTGTACAAAGGTCTTTTCTAACTGCTTAGGATTGTTATGTTGTTAACACTCAAACTGGTTACAGAGAGATTAACTAGATGTGACCCAAGTTGGGTCCCATTGATTGTAACTTCTGCTCCTTGTGGACACAGAAACACTTTCAAAAACGTGCTCTCTGGTCAATTCTACATCAGCTGCCTCGGTGCTGTATCTGAGGCACTGATTAAGTCTCGATCGCCTAGGACTCTTTAAGAAAATGGGACAGAGCCACTGTGTTTAGGGACTGGCATGCATTTCCTTTGCAGGCTATTCTGAACAACAGGGGCCTCACGACAGGAACCATGTCCTAGAAAGACACAAAAATGACCTCATGATTTTATTCTGCTGTTAATCCAGACAATATAAGGGGTTGGAAGGTAAAGTGTAAATTAACGAAAGCTATTTTTGCTGACAGGTGAACACCATGAACTATGTGGGGCAGCTGGCAGGCCAGGTGCTGGTGACAGTAAAGGAGCTCTATAAAGGGATCAATCAGGCCACTCTCTCAGGCTGCATTGACGTGATTGTGGTCCGACAGCCCGATGGGACGTTCCAGTGCTCTCCTTTCCACGTCCGCTTTGGAAAACTGGGGGTGCTGCGCTCCAGGGAGAAAGTAGTGAGTGTCTGCTTCAAGTAGAAGTGCACAGGTGTAAAAATCTGCAAATGTGTGCGGTGAATTTAAATGAAAGCGTGCTTGCTCTGCTCTGAAGGAAATATTTGAACCTAAACATTTCGGTATCCTGGAGCAGATTTTAAAATAAATGTAAAACATGTCTGTTTAAATGTTAACAAAAACGACCATAGAAATGTTTTTAGATCATAGATCATAATGGCTAATTTTATATTATGTGGGGTGTCCAAGGTTGCACAATGAACCTGTGTGTTATCAAGAAGCTGCACAATAGATTTTCTGGTCATCTGACTGCTCTTTGCCTCTCTCTTTCCATCTCAACCACATTATCATCCAATCCACTCTCTGCTTCTAACAAGAGCACACTGCACTCTCTCTATTTATAGCCTCTGTATAGTGGGTAACTGAGGATGGAGACAGAATACATAGACTAAAGCTCAATTCAGCCTCTTATTCCCAGCTGATCGAGCTTCATCCTCTTCAAAAACCTTGTCTTACATATAGAATGAGCCCGTCTGTTGTAGACTTGCAGGAAGGACTGACAGGAACAGGAAGTAGTCTGTGGTTGACTGAAGATGTTTTCACTTACTCTGTAAATCACAGAAAGGTTTAAAACATTTCTTACTACAAACCAAGCAGGAAAAAATAGAACAGGTGTTAAATGCCCTGCACCGTGTGACAATTTAAAGGTGCTGGGAGTCACTTAATCAGCACAGCTGAGTTTAAAGTAGAAGAGAATTATGAAAAACATTTTTTTCATGGTTTAAAGAACAGGTTATTTCCAGTATTGGAGCAGATCAATGGAAAATTAAAAAATGAAAACCTTTATTTGAGTCCCTGGGTTCCTTCTGGAATTCCATGCATTTGTTTATGAGATCATCAGTGCCTCTGCTGATTCCCTGCACTGAGCACCAATACTTGAAGATGGCTTAAAAATGGAGGCCAATAATCACTAAAATCAGCAGATGACTGGATACCAGGAAAACACAGCTAACATTAACATTAGCAGGAGAAACAGTTGTTTTTTCTTTAGTCTGACCAACTTTTGGTGAATGCGTGAAACAGAGCACTTACTGTACTTCACTGAACACACTTGGGTGTTAATACCAATAATTTGGGGGATTTAATGCTGAGAGCCTTTATGGCTTGTTTGTTTTAAATAATGGGCAGAAGTCATGGCGAGTAGTTTTCTCTGTGGCTTAACTCTAAAGCTTCTGTGACGACATGCATATTGTGCTTTTCTCATTAGGGTTTGGTAAAAAAAATCTGAGGCCATCTGAGGAGAACAGAGTTTAAGCATCTTTTGAAATGTTGTTTGACTGCAGATTGATATAGAGATCAATGGAGAACCTGTGGAGCTACACATGAAGCTTGGAGACAATGGAGAGGCCTTCTTTGTCCAGGAGACGGAGCAGAATAATGTGAATTTTACCCACATAATATGAATAAAATTGAGCTGAATTATCTATCGTTGCTCTTTGTACATGTATTTATTTTTTTCTCTGAAACAGGAGATTGTTCCAGCCCATTTGGTGACCTCACCTATCCCTACAGAAGAGCCTCTGTTCAGGAGCAGAGAATCCAGATGTGGGGGAACAACAGCAGAGACCAGCCAGCCCCTCAGTCTGGAAGAGCCAGTCTCTGTAAACCTCCACCCCTGCTCCAATTCAGCTGGTAAAAAGAAGAAGAGACGCAGGAGAAAGCACAAAGCTGAGCCACGTAAGGAGGAGCAAACGACGGCGTCTGCAGCCGGGGAGCTGGAGCTGTGTGATCTCAGTTCAGATGAAGAGCAAAATGCACAGAGTGGACGGTGAGGAGACATGTTTACTCTGAAAATTGAAATTTGACCTGTTCTTCAATGTAACTAAATTATTCATTTGTTGTTTCCTGTCCTCAGAGCATCTTCACTGTCTGCAATGAAGGAAAATATGGACCACAGACAGCATTCCCCACTCACCGCCCTTGAATGGGACAGCTACCCATTCTCTGATGGCGACTGGTCGCCCTGCACTACGTATGGCCTTTTCTGTTTCGTCCATTCAGATGTTTACAGAGTTCCTACAAGCAGAAAGATCAAACACTTACACATTAAATCAGACTGGGCTGAATAAAACAAATTATTCCTACAGCATCATTAGAGCTTTTATTTTTCTTATATCAGGGAGGTGCCTGAGCCCATGTCACCGAAGAGTGACTCGGAGCTGATGGTGAAGCCGTCAGAGAGCATGCTCAGGACTGAGTCGCACATGCAGTGGACCTGGGGGGAATTTCCAGAATCTACCAGGGTAAGAGTCTAAAACTTGGACTAGTGCTAGTTCATATCATTCAGAATTCTAAAAGCTATTTATTGTGTTCAGGTCAACAAAAAGGAAAAATGGGAGCCAAAGACTTTGACCATCACTCCCTCAGAGAACACACACTTCAGGGTTATTTTGAGCTCTGAAGCCATGGAGGAAGAGTCCAGAGGAGGACGGGGAACAACAGATCCCGTTTGCAGTATTGTAAAACCTGAGCCCCGAACCATCAAACCTGATGAATGTAGCTGCAAAGCGCAGCCCCCTGCTGCTTCATCACATGGTGCAAACAATACAGAACCCAAGCCAGACCTTTCAAGTTTGATATCGAGCAGCTTTACACCAGAGCCCTGCCCAAGCAATGCTGACCTCAGTGCAAAAAATGCAAGCAAGGCCAGGTGGACATCTTCATCTCCCAGCCGCCAGGACAGCAGCTCGACTGCCAGCGCAGGTAGTAACCAGACCGGAGACTCTACAGCTGTTTGTCCTGATCCAAGTGCCAATTCAAAAGCCACCGACTCACCCATCAAGAGAAGGGGTAACACTTTTACCTTAATCTGAAAATGTCATATATACTAAAGGAATTTGTTTAAACCTACAGATTTAATATAGAAAAGTTTAAACAAATCATTAGCAGGAGAAAGCTTTCCTGCAATTTCTGATGCAGAAGCATGTCTTCTTAGAAGTGTGGGAGAATTGTTTAGATGAGGAGGAGGGAGGCTTTGAATCTTTCATTTCATTTTATTACAAAGAGAGGTCCTCCCTTACTTGGTCCCCCCTGGCACAGTATAATATTAATCACAAGGATAAGAAAAGACTACAAAAAGAGACCCAGCAGTTCCCTGTTTTTGAGAGAAGAGCTACTAATAAACTGTTAAATCGGTCCCTGAAAATGTAAAGCAAATATCATAAGAAACAATCCATAAAAATAAGTCCAAGATGAGAAAAAGTTGAGAATTTTTCAGAGACACTCTTTCTGACTTGAACCCATTCAGAGTATGTGAATGCTGACAGGAAGGATGTGGTTTCTGTTCCGGCCTGAGTTCATACTCTGTCTGGGGCTGCATTTTGTATGCGAAAGTGAAGTGAAAAAAAAAAGTCAGCAATTTCAAAGAAGTCAACCCTTTGTTTTCATTTCACAAAGTTGTGAGGAAGAGGAGCCAACATCAGGGACCAGAAGATATTTACCTGGAAGACCTCACCGCACTCGAGCCTGACGTTGCTGCCCGGTACTTCCCAAAAAGGTACATACCTGGAAACCCTTTCAGCTACCCTGTTCTGTCCTGCACCCTTAGACATGGTGAAATAAACACTGTATACTTTTGAAACACAAATATGAAAACTACTTTCTGATTTTAGTGTCTAAACCTGCACTCTTGTTTCAGTGAGTCAGAACAGGTCAATAAACACTGGGTGGAGACAGGACAACGCTCTGGATCCCAGTCACCCCAGTCAGTGGGGAGTGCAGCAGCAGACAGTGGCACTGAGTGTCTGTCTGACTCTGCTGGAGACCTGCCTGATGTCACACTGTCACTGTGTGGAGGCGTCGGTGAGAACTCGGAGATCTCTAAAGGTAGCTGTAGCTTTCCCTCCCTGGAAGTCTGACTCTGACACCTTGTGCTTGTGCCCTCTGGATTACGTGCTGGATCTCTGCCAGTGTGTCATTTTCACTTTGGGGAGGTTGAAGGCAGGCAAATCTGGTGTGTAGGGCAGGCCAGCACCCAATGACATGCACCGTCACTCTAAATGTTGTCAAGATGTTACAGTAGAACTCCTTTAGCAGGAATAACCGTCTCACCCTGAAGGACAAAGTCATTGTACGCAGCCGTGAATGTCGAAAAACAGCGAGCATGCTCCTGGTTGCACTTGTTACCTGTTGACCTGCCTTTAGCCTCTTGAGCTAAAAATTGAAGGTTTATAGCCAAGGACACATGTTTAACACAGAAGTTTATGTTTGAGGAAAATGCAGATGTGCAAGAGGTCAAACTTTAATTTTCCATATCGGTTATTAAACTTGTGCGAAACAAATAAAGCTTTGAATTATTTTGAAAAGAAAAGCAGGGTGTATATATGTTTTTCACTTACAGCTCCTCTGCAATATTAGTTTGCAGTATGGGTTGGCATCTTTATTTTTAGTGTGGCTCACGATGCTCTCTTTTCTTCCAGAAAAATTCATGGAGCACATCATAACCTACAATGACTTTGCAGAGAATCCAGCAATTATTGATAATCCTAATTTGGTGGTCAGAATTGCAAACAGGTGAGTCCTCCTGCTAACCAACAGGTGCACTGTTTCATCAATGTTTTTTTATAATCTTTGGAACATCCAGGTGTTATACCTCCTTATATTTCAGGTATTATAACTGGACACTGGCAGCACCATTGATACTCAGTATGCAAGCTTTCCAGAAGAACCTGCCAAAGGTATCCTTTAGTGTAAAGTCTTAAGATTTATCTGCTTACATCTGCACACTTATACATATGCTTCTGTTGTTTGACTGACAGGCTACAGAGGAGGCCTGGGTGAAGGAGAAAATGCCAAAAAAGTCAGGACGCTGGTGGTTCTGGAGAAAGAGCAGCGTGAAGCAGGTGTGTTTCTATGAAATTAATAACTTCTTACTTTTTATGTAACACTCCTATTTTCGAGTGTAGCGGGCAGTAATCAATAGCTTTGAATTGTAAATGACGTGAGTTAGATGAGAAACAGGTTACCTAAATGCATCAGTAACCATTACATCACTCACTGCTTTGCATCATTATGTAAAGACTCTTCACTACCTTATGAAACAAACTTTTACTGCACATTGTTTTGTTTTGTTTTTATTTCTATACCTACAATAAGATAAATTTAACAACATTTCTTCCCCTTTTTTTTTTTTTTTTTAAGTTATCATCAGAGACCAAGTTAGAGAGACAGGAGTCTCTGACCACAGAGAGCCCTTCCCTCCACCAGGCCCCAGAAACACAGTGAGTCAGCAACAAAGCTCTGGCTTCCTCACAACACTACAGTCACACATCAGGACGAGCAGTGTTGGGTAAACATGTCCCACAGAGGGTGGATTAGCATGTTAGTCAGCATGCAGTGCTGTCATTACATAACTCTAAATCAGTACGAGTCCAGGAACCAAACAAAAAACAGTTTAAACATTAGTTTGAACTAGCAGATTCTATCTTTAACTATTGTAGAAATCATTGAAAGTGCTTTCAGTTTCAGTGTAAACTGTGTCAAGGGCAAATGAATACTTTAAGTAAATGAATTAGCAGGTCTGCTGCCCTCTTTTGACTATAAATGATGCTGCAAGGTGGAGTTTCGTTCCCTGAAAGATATTTGCTATAGCATAAATATGTCACTGAATTGTCCTGCTATTGTGCCTATTTTGACGTTGCTTCACAATGACTTAACTCTTTTCTGGGCCAAGGCCCATTTTCTCTACTCTTGACACCATTTGCTGGTCTTCTTCAGGCTGTACTCTCCTCTACAGGCAGAAAGCTTCAGAGTGGTCCAGCGATGATGAGACTAAAGAGCTGAATGCTGCGGCTCCTGCTTTAACACCTACTGAGCGCGCGCAGACGGAAAATCAAGCACCACAACCGTGTCACTCTTACAAGAAATCCCTCCGCCTTTCGTCCGATCAGATAGTAAGACCTCGCACCGCTGAGTGATTAACTGGGAAAAACTACAAGCAGACTCATTTGAGTCGTTTAATTTCTGTTTCTGTGAAGTGCAGAGAAAAGCCCTAGATTAGATATTTTATTTATTTTGTTTACAAAACATCCCATCATTGACTCAATGCAGCTTTGAGCTACAGAACAGAGTTTTCTATGTTTATGCAAACTGTAGTAAAATCTTATCAAGATGATTTGTAAAATGTTAGAACACAAGCACAGGCATTCATGCAGAAAGTGACAGAGATAGCACACACATATATAAACATGCTGATAAGTGAGAATGTGAACAATAAGGGGGGGAGCCTTAAATTACATTTAAGTTTATGGTCTCTATTAGGTAAATGAAATGCTAAGATTTAGTGGCCACAATAGCAGGATGTTAAATGAACAAATGTATTATATCCAGCATTCTTATCAAGCTCAGTTACTCATGTAGTGGAAGGTATCTTATATTGCAAGTAATACTTCACTTTCACACTTTTTGGTGTAGTATTTGTGTTTAAAAGAAAACTTTAATCACTGTGTCTCTTACAGGCCAGCCTGAAGTTAAGAGAGGGGCCAAATGATATGACCTTTAGCATAACCACTCAGTACCAGGGAACGTGTCGCTGTGCAGGGACCATCTACCTGTGGAACTGGGACGACAAGGTCATCATTTCTGACATCGATGGGACCATCACCAAGTATGGGGAATAAGTATACTGAAATAAATACTTTGTATTGTCTTTATTTCATGAGATTTCAGAGTGTTTTGAGTCTTATATGCTTTACGGCATATAGTAGAGTGCACAGGGCAAAATATTTATCAGCAACGGCATGCTAAGAGGGTACTAATTTGCCTTTCTGCACAGTCAGAACTGCAGTTTCTCTGCTCAGACTTTAGAGGTCAATAGACAAGCCTGTGGAGTTCATATTGCTAAGCACAAACCTTGTCACTTGGACCAGTAAAAGACATGGAGGCAAGAGTTCTGTTTATTTGGTGCTATAGATGCATAAATGCTAAAAACAGGCCATTTTAGCCCATTATGAGGTGGTTGCTATGCATCAGGATGACACCATTATATATGATATAGATGAGAACCTCCAGGGGCCAAAGATGTACCTGTGTGCCAAGTTTGGAGGAGTTTGTGGACAAACAAACAGATTTTGTGTATCATTGTAGTATTTAAACACTTTCCTAACATGCTTGTCTCAATCTCTAGTTTAATATCTAAATAAAGAAGTTCATTTAGTGCCAGTTAGTGTAAAATAGATGATAAAATTGTGTTTTCTTTACCTATTTAATTTGTTGTTGATCAATCGCTACTCTCTCAGGGTGCAGTGTCATCAGGCTCACTACACTTTTGTGACTTGTGGTCTTTTAAATACAGTCTGAAGTAATAAGCACTATTTTAACCAATTTTAAAGGTGAATATGCTCTCTGAGCTTTAATGTCTCATTTTAATTAATCACAGATGTTTTACTTGTATTGGCATTTAAATTTTTTATACTTGAGTGTACAGGTTGGAGTGTTATGATGGTAAACTTCTCTAATTTGTTTTGTTTGATAATACGCAGCATCCAGTCATCAAATATGGATCTGCAGTATCTATTCCACTCATCATTTTTATGCTCAGCTCTGTTATAGTATTTTACATCTACTTTCCCCACAGATCAGATGTGTTTGGTCAGATTCTACCTCAGCTTGGTAAAGACTGGACCCACCAGGGAATTGCTAAGCTTTACCACTCAGTGCATGAGTAAGAAACAGTAACAGTTTCCATGACTACACTCTGTTAGGCCACAAAGACGTCAACAAGTAACATGAACATCTTTCCACTGCAGGAATGGCTACAAGTTCCTGTACTGCTCGGCTCGAGCCATCGGGATGGCTGACATGACTCGAGGGTATTTGCACTGGGTGAACGACAGAGGGACTCTGCTGCCTCAGGGACCCCTCCTCCTCTCCCCAAGCAGCCTCTTCTCAGCCTTCCACAGGTAAGAAAATAATAACCTTCCTTGTCTTATGTACTGCTTGTTCCAGTCAACAGCGCTATTTGAATAGCTGAGAATGAATACATGATTTAAGATGCACAAATAAATGTTTGCATTGTGATAAAAGGCTTCCTCTATAACTCTGTTTTATAGTCACTGTTATTCTCTTGGGAAGCACAAATTACAATCATTTTGCTTTTTCTTTTCCTTTAATGAAATGTTATTTTAGCTCCAGTCACACGTTCTCACACTGTGGAGCAGCTGATGACCAGAAACTTGAAAAAACAAAACCTGCAAATATTATCTTTAGCCTGCATCATTAAAATGAAAAGTTTAACTCCTGTCGGTGTCGTGCATTGTGGCTGCTCATTAGATGATTCAGTCATTCAGTGAGTTTGAAAGTCATGAAAAATGAGCTCAGTTAAAAGGACACTCCAGCAGCAGAAGGACTGAGGTTGATTCTTTAATTCTTTCTTTTCTTGTTAGAGAAATCATTGAAAAGAAGCCTGAGAAGTTCAAAATCGAATGCCTCACAGACATCAAGAACTTGTTCTTCCCAAACACACACCCCTTCTATGCTGCCTTTGGAAACAGAGAAAGCGTGAGTTTCTCAATTTTGTCCCTGTGCTGTTAGTACTTTTGAGGTTTTTCTCTTTGAGATCTGACTGAATTCTTATGATAAATGAATGAAATTATACTTTTTCTCATTTTGCTTTTGTATACAAGGATGTGTTTGCCTATAAGAAAGTGGGCGTTCCTGCGTGCCGAATATTCACAGTGAATCCCAAGGGGGAGCTGATCCTCGAACAAGCCAAAGGCAATAAAACATCGTAAGTAGGCGACCCATCCCTGGAGTCAGTTTGTGTCTGCCAGCTGTTTCTCTCAGACAGACGGTCATTGTTTTCACTGCTGCTGTCTTGTTTTTTGGCAGATACAGCCGGTTGAGTGAGCTGGTGGAACATGTTTTCCCTCTGCGGAGTACACAACACAACGCAACCTTCAGCTGCCCAGAGTTCAGCTCCTTCTCTTACTGGAGAGAGCCCATCGCTGAGGTGTGCCTCGAGGAGCTGCTTTAACTTGGACTACCAGACCCCCGAACACTTTAACTCTGGTTATTTTGTTGACTCTGCAAAGGCTTAATGCCAGTTACGTTCACATGTCCGAGAGCTTTGTAGACCACTAAGACAGTTTGGAGTATTGATTCACTCCATATTGCAAATATATTTCCTTCATGCGCCTCGTTATTTAAACTTCACAGAAAAAAAACTTTATCTGAAGGCTTTTGCAAAGTTTTCCTTACAGGAGCAGAAGTTTCTTAAGGACTTTTATAGACAGTGGAGCTATAACAGTTGGTGTGATCAGGTTGTGCGACATACGAAGCGTGATCACAAAGTCCTGTGACTTCATGCAGTTTTAAAAAAACTGCACCTTATCTAAATTTGGACAATTTCCCATTCAAGGTCGTCTCCTTGTGCACCTCTGGTCTACTTCCAGCACTGCTGCAGTTTTATTTCACACTTTTTTTTGACTATTTACACTTTTGTGTTTTACAAGTTTAACCAAAACTTCGGTGTTGATGGTCGTCAGTGGTGTAAGAGCTCGGTGTCTGGGTACGAGACTTTTTTTTTTTTTTTTTTCTCCCCCCCCCACGTTGTTATTGTATTTTGTACCTTGATTTTCTTTCCTCGGGATCAGACTGTCACTGTGGACTGAAGCACGGTTGTGTGCTGGCACGCAGCAGATTTTAGCTAAACCAACACAACCGATTCTGACCATATTGCAAGTTTTTCCTGAGAATGAAAATTTTACGTTAAAGATTTAGTATTTTTGACAAACTGGAGCACATTTAGGGCACATTGAAGGCACACAAGTACAAATGAAAAGGACAGTGTTGTGAAACCATCAGCAATGCTGGAAGTAGTTTAGCAAACCCAAGAAGACTACATATGAAGGGAAATCACAAATGTAAACTGGGTATGATTTGAATATTTTGTACGGGTGAGTCATGGAGTTATATTTGCAAATTTTAGTGGTGTATGCAGAACGGCTGCGTAAGCATCCTTTTGCTGCCTTATTTTGTTTATAACAATCTTATTTAATGTGTAGTTTTAAAAAGCTGAAGGATTTTGCATTAATATGCTAAGAAGAAAATTGTGAAATGATTTGCTTGGGGTTTAACTGTATTACTGTGATTTTAAAAAATGCTGCTACTAGAAAATCATTTTATTATTTTCACTTCATTTTTAATTTTTTACTGATGTTTTGGCAGACGTTACTGTCAGTAAAATTTGTTGCACTCTTTCTATGAAAGTAATACACTTTGTGTGAAGAGAACACAGTATTTTTTTTTTTTTTAATTTTCCATTTAGAGTAAGGAAAGTTTCTGCTGCTTTGAGTTCTTTTCTGTAGATCGCTGTGATTACTTTGCGTGGATTTGTGTTGATGTAACAGCGCGAGCACAAAGAATGACCAAATTTCTGATGAATACATGATACAAAAGCAGAAATGTAATTTTTTAAGGTGTCAAAATGCAGATTTGCTGTACATAACTAATGCATAGTAGTATATTTAAAGTATGTATAGGACTGAAACAGTTAAAACATGTTGGATGATGCATTAATAAAAGAGATTTTATTTAAAGGATGATCGAGACTTATTTTATACATTTAGCATGTGTGTCTCTGTTACCTCAAAGTCGTGGGGGATGCTAAGAGTAGGGGGAAAAAAGTAACTTAGTGGTTTACTTGATTACTCTGTGAATGTGAGGAAACTTCCACTGCTACACACTAGCATGCTCAAGCAAATATTTGAGAACTATGTTAAAATTTTACAATAAAAATGCAGTGTAAACTATATATTAATACTCATGAAGTGAAATCATCTCAGTTATTTGGAGATCAAATTATATTATAGCTATAACATCACAATGAGCTCGAGTATGTCATCAGTAATGTGCACCACACTTCACTCTAAGGTGTCGGTTGTCTCTGAAAGCAGAGGAACTACCGCTTTGATGTGCTGGGGTAGAGAAGCGCAGCGCTGAAAGATGACACGACCTCAGATGAGGCTGAGACAGCGAGCTTTCCAGCTTTTAAGACGAGTCGTACTTGGTCTCCTCGCCTCAGTGAAAGAATCAGGCTCGCTGATGTTGAACTGGTGCAGTTACAGAGTTCGTGTGAATGCAGAGCTGTGACACCAGACATGAAACCAGCAGAGTTCAGCCTCTGGATGCTGCGACTAGACACAAATAGGACTGCGTCAACCTTCTCTCCTTGCTCGGGTGTCAGCACAGCGGTCACCAGATAACGGCCATCCATCGGAGCTGTGAAGATGCCTGAGAACACATAACGATGCAGTTAGTTGAGATTCTTACCAAACACAGTGGCACAAACTGCAATATTTATGCAACTATTTAATCGATTTGGTTTACATTTTGTAAAGTTACTGAGCTCCAGAGGATTCAGACTAATAATCTTGGCTTTTCCTGTAGCAAGATTATTTTCAGCAACTTCATAAGTTAAAGTCTTTCATTAATAACACAGAGGCGTAACTTTCAGGGGGGTTAGGGGGGTTATGACCCCCCCCAATAATCAGACCTAACCAGTATAACCCCGCCAATAAAATTATGAATTGTCTTGCATAAATAGGCTGTTGATTTTCTTTACTCATTTCAGTTATTACCAGCAAAATAGTTGCATGTTTAATCATCTGGGAATTTACCCAGATTTATTCTTGACCCCCCCAATGTTCAGCACAAAGTTACGCCGATCAATGAAGAGATTCCTGCAAAATAAAATGTACCATCTTTTATCCAAATTCAAAAAGGTAGCACTTGCACTAAACTTCAGGAAAAGGGCCAAAAAGCCCAGTTTCATTTCATAATAATAACTTTTTTGACTTGCTTCTTACCTCCAAAGTGTGTTTAACACTAGAACTACATTACTTAAAAAGTTATCAAAGAGCCAACACACTTGGCTCAACACTGCTTTGCCACAAGCAGTTGCTGTGCATCACGACCACTGTATGTGCTGCAACAATAGCTAATTGAGAATTAAACTGGGAATTTTAATCTAGTCTAATTATTTAAAGTGTCTCCGGTGCAATTGGGTCATTTATAGTTTGAGCTTAAACAATTTATCAATGAAAAATTGAAATCAACAAACAAAAAAAACAACAACTGATTTATAAATGCAGAGGAAAATGTGGGGTAAGACTAAAATAACAGATACCTGTCTGAGGGTCGTAATGTCCACCATCATTGACCAGCACCTCGTTGAATCGGATGATACCGACAACTCCTTGAAACGGTGGAAGAGTCAGACCAGCTGAGAATGACACTTTCTCCCCTGAATACAGGAAAGGAAACATCACAGGCTGCCAAACATGACGATAGCAGAGGCAGGAATTTGAATAATCAAAGTCTGACCTGAAGCCATGACACGTTTCAGAGGAGGGGGTCTGAGAGGCATGCTCACATCTGTTGATCAAATAAAAACAGCTTCATTCACTCTTCCTGCGCTCGGCTGTAATGCAGGACATTTAAAAAGGAACACTTACCTGAGCTCACATGAGTTCTGGTCTGGAGGATGTCGGTGGGTTTTTGTGGGGATGCTACGAAATAAAACAAAAACATAAGTTGCGCGAAACAATGTTGTGTACTGCATGTACGGTTGTGGTTGTGTCTCCACCTGGAGCTCCAGCAAAACCCTGAACAGCCATCATGATCCCATCTGTTCCTTTGGGCAACTTGGATGAAGTCATCTCTCCGGGGGGTCCCGCCTCTCCGGTTTCCATCACAGGCAGCTCCGAGAGTGAGGTATTCATGGGGCCAGCAAATACCTTGGGCCCTTTACTTGACCCCTGGGGCTGTCTTGTGTCAAACACTCTAACCGGAGCACCTGAATAGAATAGATATGGAGTGAGGGTTGGGAAAAGGCTAAAGGTCGGTGAAAAACACATGTCTGGAGGGCAGATGCTTTAAGAGACGATACACAACCAGCTGATTTGTTAAACATCATGCCTATAACTCAGTGGCACATTCTTGCAGTCATCTTTCTAATATTACATTTGATGCTACTTTATCTTAACTCATTCACTGCAATTGACGTCTATAGCCGTCAATTGCAGTGAATGAGTCAATGGGTTTAACTCATTCACTGCCAATGGCTGGCAGTGAATGAGTTAAGAAACACCTTAATTCTTCATGGCACATTTTAAGCAAGGTGCTGGTATCTTTCCTCGGATTTTGGTCCTTGTTAAACATGACAGCACTGAGCAGTTGCTGCAGATTTGCCAGCTGCACATCCATGATGTGAATTTCCTGTTTCAGGACATCCCAAATGTGCTCTGCTGGGTTGACATCTGGTGACTGTAGAGGGCATTTGTGTGCCTAGAACTCCTTGTCATGTTCAAGAAATCGCTTTGGGATTTGATGTTGTTTTATCCTCCTGAAAGCAGACATCAGAAGATGGAAACCGTGTATTCATAAAGGGATGGAGAGGTTCACCATTACACCACCATCACCAACCTGCACTGTAGCTATAAGGCAGGATGGTTCATGCTGTTTATGCAAGGTTATGACCCTAACATCTGAATGCTGCAGCAGAAATGGAGATTCATCAGATCGGAAAACACTGTTCCAGTTTTGTTGAGCCTGTGTCGACTGTAGCTTCGGCTTCCTGTTCTTATCTGACAGAAGTAGCAGCCAGAGTGGTCTTCTGCTTCTGTAGCACATCTGCTTCAAGAATCAATGTCTTGTATATTCAGAGATGCTCTTCTGCATACCTTCGTTGTAATGAGTGGTTATTTGAGTTATTATTTCCTTCCTGTCAGCTTGAAGCACTCTGGCTACTCTCCTCTGACATCAACAAGACACTTTCACCCAGAGAACTGCTGCTAAGTTTTTTCTTTTTCTGACCATTTTCTTTAAGTCTTAGAGAGCAGATCAGCAGTTTCTGAAATATTCAGACGAGCCTGTCTGGCACCTACAACCATCCCATTCAGAGACACATTCTGATGCTGGGTTTGAACTTCAGCAGGCAATCTTCATCATGCCTGCATGCCTAAAAACAATGAGTTGGTCCAGTGTGATTAGATAGTTGGATTGATCAGATAAACAGGTGTTCCTAATAAAGTGTCCAGTGAGTATAGCATGTCTGTGAACAGAAATCTGCTATAATAAGATGATTAACACCTCCTGATATAAAACCGGTTATAATTTTCAGATGGTATAATTTTTATACCATCTAATATAAAAGCTACATCTACTGCTATATGTACATGCACATAAAATACAGAAATGTGACTGATGCATAATAAGCAATCCTGCACACTGATGAAGTGGCAACTTCTGGGCCTAAAAACTAATCCAACACAAAGTGCCAAAACTGCAGTATCTACACTTGAGGCTGACTCCATAAGCAAGTCAATTGCAAAGTTTTTGGTAGGTTTAGAGAACCAATCGTTACTTAGCCTTATGTAGCAAAAGTTGGGATACTTTACGAGGGAAGAAAGTCATGATGGGTGGAATCTGTAGGCTGCAACTGCAAATCATCAGCGTAATTTTTGTAGTACCCCCTCCCAAAGCCACTGAGAACAGCAGTTTCAACTTTGGGCCAAGCAATGCTGTGGTGCTGTGCTGGTGTCAGTTTTTTTTGGAAGCAGTGCTTTTAGATTCCCATGTTAAAATGTCCAACTTTACCACAGAAGGAAATATATTTATAATCTGATACAAAAGAGAGAATGGCTTTGTTATTGCTAATTTTCTTGCTCGTGACAACTGAAGGCAGGGCGTATTTTTGTAAAACGCAACTGCTTAACTATGAGGGTAAAAGTTGCACGATTAAGGGCGTGGGTGCTCTGAGTGGCAGGCCAGTGCTGCCAGCTGTCAGCTACATGTTGTACCAACAAATCTGAGTTATTGAACTGAACCTCTCAACTATATTTCTGGTGCTGGTGCTTACTGGAAGAATGCTTAAGTGTTTGAGTGCCTAATGAGAAATGTCTGCACACCTGAAAGAACAGTTGGTGATTCAGAAGAAAGCAAACTTTACAAAAACAATTAAACATGATCCTGCCCACCTGTATTCTTGACAAAGGTCGAACAGGCGAAAGCGTTGCAGTCTGATGAATGTGCCAGTTTTATCTGAAGCAAGAAGACATGCCTGCTGTTTAACTAATTGGTGTGTGTCATCTGGCTTCAGATGTAGCTGATAAAGCATAGCAATACAATTTATGCTGTGCTCTCTAATATCTCTCTCTAATATATCTCTTTTTGCCTATGGGAAGCATGTATATTGTAAATAGAGTTCACAAACCAAAGGGTGAGTACGCCAACCCTTTTTTCGATAGTTGCCAATGGCTGAGTGCAGAGATCAGGAGTTTGGATGGCAGTAAACTTTATATTGAAAGTACACGGTAAGATGCTCCTGGTTGTGCTTCCACCATATGGGTTTCACATTAAGCAACACTAAAGTGTGTTTCCAGCAGTAACGCCTGACAGTCCATAGAAATGTTAAACATTGTTTATTCAGTTTTTTGACTTCCAAGAAACCTGCAGTTGTTTTCATGATTAAAGTGCGGCTACTGCTGAACCCTCATTAACAGGCTAGCAGCGAGTGATTATCTGAGCTTGTTATTAA